AGCCTCGACTCTGCGGGTCTATTCCAGGGCCTTGAGCGATTTTTCACTACACAATTTAACAAATAAAAGCAACACACAACAACAAAAAATGGCAGCAAAACAGAAAAATAAAAAAATCAAACATGAGAATCTACACACAAATAAAACAATAAAACCCACACACACACACACACACACGCGCACACACAGCTAGAGGCGCACAACAAACTGAGGATGTGGATGAGCACAAGTTTATTACGAATTTTACTTATGTGTTTTTTTGGTTGCCCTGGCAGACTTCAGGACACGGTGTGGTAGCTGGGTGTTTGGGCGTTTCGTGGATGGGATTCTGGCAGCGCCTTTAGCCACAGGGCATTAATAAAGACAACAACATGGCGGTGGCAATGTCGACCTCAAGTTGGTGACCATAAGTCATAGGCAAAAGTTCCCAAAAACGTTTTCTCTTAGTTTTTGGCAAATTGCCGCAGCTTGAGAATTATATTCGTTAAGCAAAGTAACTTTTCACAATAAAGGCAAAAATATATTACATTATTATCAAGTATTTTTCATGGCTGATAACTAGTTGTGGGGTTTTATCGAAACATATTAAGAGTAAAAAGTTTATTAGCTAGTTTCCTTACTTTGTGTTTCGTATACCGTTTGGGTTAGAAGAAGCTTGCACGGGGCATGTACAGGGTATGCTAATCACACATTGAATCATTTAACTTAAAATTTTAAAAAACTCAAAGAGCAAGGATCAGGCTAGTTTCAAGCTATAATCTACAGGATTTTTTAGTTTCAAGATAAGTCTGTGAATTTGAGAACATAAAATACCTTAAATGCGATATAAGTATCATTTAAGACTGCTGTCATATAGACACAGACATACACACACACACACACACGCACGCACTGTCGCATGTGTGTAAAGGCCTTTTTGATATCGATACGCCAAAGCGCCGCCCAATTGCCCGCCCATTCACTTGACAGTTGACTGAACAAAAAAAGTTTAATTTGAAAACTTTTATGCGCAGTGGAGAAAAATACCAAAAAGAATAAAAAAAATACTGCCCATTGATGGCTGGTAACAAATCACAAAGGCATGCGCTGGCAAATTGTTTGCAAAGCGTTGGACATTTTGCTTAAAGATTTCACTCCGAGTTTAAGAGCCACGAGCTCAACTGAAAGTGACAAACTCGCACGTCCTGCCAATGTTGACATTGACACAGATGCAGCTGGCTACAGGCTGCAGGATAAAGGATGAAGAATACCGAATGCAGTTGCCGGCATTGAATACATGTCAGACGCAGCGGGCGGCCGAATGTGTAAAACTTTCACAAAGCGGAAGTTTATTAAAACAGCAGCTCAGGGAAAAATAGTGTAGAAGAAGCGAGGGCACAAGCACATGCATGACAAACAGGCAAGCTGTTGTCCAGCATGATCGACCGAGATATACCCAGTAACTGTTATGATATTATCGTTGATATGACATAATAATGATTGAGGTTAAGAAGTAACTATCTCCACATGTATCTGCAATACTCATAAGATTTGCATATTCCGAGAAATTAAATGCTAATATGCAAAGTTTAAAGTACATACCAAATTTTAGCTTTCTAGTTGATATAGATTCTGGGATCGATAGGATGTTTAAAGAAAGAGAGAAAGCGGATAGACTGTTATATGAAACATGACAAGATCGATCATGTTCATTTCTTTGACTACTTTGGCTGATGCTAAGCTGAGCTCAACTCTTTGATACTCCTTAAAGCGTTTTAAAGGATAAGGGAAGGGTATACAAAGTGCGCACTTAACACAAACCTAAGAGCCACACAGACCAAACTAACTAAGCCAGCAGTCCCTGCAGTTTTACGTGAAATGCAAATGCACACTGCACACACACACACACACAGACGCACACATACACACAAAGCAGATCTGAACACTGCATTATGCATGGGCTAGACGGGGGCAAAGATACAATTTTGTATTTTGTTGCGCAATTGAGCGCGCAACTGAAGCAAGAAACTGTGTGGCAAAAAAACGTATCTCAAGGAGACAGCCAGGAGGCACTCAATGAGGAATGCATTCGGCGACAGCGTTGTCCTTGCCGTCAAATGCCATTTGCATTTTGTTGCACAAGCTGCGCACTGATAAAGCCATGCTGCAGTCGACTCGAAGTGGGATTGGTCTGGGACTCAGGCCCGACCATGGGGTGCAAGACGTTATGTCGGCTAAATTTCTATAAAATAAATCGTTGACGTATGGCAGCTGCATGCTGCTGCCGCAACATCCAATTTCAGTGCAGCGCACAATGTCCTGAATATTATTAAAGCAAGGAGTTGAGCACTTGCAGAAGCTAATAAAATTCTTTCCTGGAATTTGAAACACATAGAAGCTGACAGTTCTGACTAAGTATTACCACTGTCATATGAGAAAATCTTGATCAAAATAAGACTACTATATCATTTGGCACTGTCAAAGGAATCAGTCAATTGCAGAGTTCTCGTGATTGCGTGTACAAGGGTATTTAATCTTCGGCGTACCGAAGCTCACCTTCTTTCTCTATCTACTTATACATAGCATTTGCTGCAGTGCCATCTTAGCTTATCCAAAGCTTCTTCGGTATTCCAGTTCGGTCTATTTACATGGCATAATAGGATGCACTTTAAACGTGCTGCATCAGCGAACTGTTTGCCCTTTGTCCTGTGCATTTGATTAACTGAGTAAGAGATAGAAAAAAATAAGCAAATGCGACAAGAGTTTCACATAAATATTCGAGTTCCGGCCGGTATTGGGTAGGGGTTTGGCCACCCTGTGTAATGCTCAATCATAAAATACAGACTAGGCACAAGCAAAATATATATGGCATAGCAATTCGCAAATTATTTTCAAGCTGCCATTAAATAAACTGACAAACGCAGGCAGACACAGAAAGAAAAAAAAATAAAACCAAAAAATAAACGCGCTCCCTGACTATTGACTCCGGGCGTGGGTACTCGGTAATGTTAGGGGTGAGTGCGGGGGTGACAGACAGACAGACAGACAGACAGACCGACAGACCGACAGACCGATAGAAAGACACAGAGACAGCTGTTCTTGGCCATGTTGTTTTAGCTGCTTCTGATATTGCTGTTATATATATGTTGTATTTCTTTTTTTTAAATCGACTTTCATGTCAACCGACTTGTGTACATCATCTGTCTGTCTGGCATAAAGAGGGGATGTATTGCGGCTCTGAGGGGGCGCTGGGGAGGACTTTGGCCAAGTCTGTCGCTAAACTTATGGCCTACATTTGACTGTTGCGTAAGCAAACGAGATGTGAAATGCCAGCTCCTTGATAGCATTTGTCAATAAACTTCATGTGAACCAGCGATGCCTATAAATTTGTTTACACTAATGTATATGTATATATGTATGGGTGTGTGTGTGTGTGTGTGCTTGTGTAAGTTGAAGAAACAACAACATTTATGGGCTTAACAATCCCACATAAACAACATATGTACATTACATACAACATCCAAATAGAAATGCTCGAAAAAAGATTTCATAGTCTTATTCGACTAGTTAAAACCCTGAAGACAGGTTTTAGGTAAAAATAAATGTAAGACAAAAATGCAGACTAAATGAAAGCTTGCAAATGTTTTTAAATTTCTTTGCTTTGAAAGGAAGAAAATGAAAACATGATAGGATTTATAAAAGAAAATAATAGGTTTTAAGTCTTTAAGTTTTTTCTAGAGTTAAGGATCAAGGCTTATAAATTGAATAACAGGCGAATCGACTGGCCAACCAATGCTTCTGGGTGGCAAATTAAGGTCTTGGGCGAAAGTACACGATTCTTCAAACTAATTTTCAAAATTGTCCCCAAAAGGTACAAATGGGCGAAAGCCTGTTGATTGTATTTTCAGATTGTATGTTATGAGGCACAGCCCTTTAAAAATCTTTAGTGGCAAGCCGTATGCTAGAACCCATATAGCCGCTCGTAGCAAGCGAATTGGCAATTTTGACTTTAAGTAGACATTGACAAATTAATTTTCGGCAGATTGGTGCTACACAAAAATAAGGTCCTAGGCATACATTTGCGCATCATTACGGCAACAAGAAGTAAATCAAATTTGCGTCGTTTTTGGCCGCCCCCGAGGGTTGTCTGTTGACAGTTGTGGGTTATGCAGTGGGTTTCCTGTCGCTTGTCTGCAACGGAAATGAAATGACCCAGTTAAATGATTTATATAGCGCACACACACACACTTATACGCACACAAATACAAATGATAGCACATATGCTGGTTTTATAAGCAGGGCTTAGTGGCATGCGGCTGCCACGCGGTCAGAAAAGGTGCCTCATGTGTGGCACGCGCTTCTGACCCAGCTACAGAGCTCGTTCACCCTGCCTGCTCCTGTAGCAAGGTCCGCACCCAGGCCGAATTATGGCTGGCTGTTAAGCGTGTTGAAATTATAATTTCATTAGCTGCAATCAACATAAAAATAACACTTAAGGCAAAGTGCCAAAGCGCTTTCAAGTCGTAAAGCTCGAGCTCAAATTAAAAAGAAGCACGGGCAAAAAAAAGTGTATGAGAAACAAGCGAAACAAAATTTATTTCACTGGGGCGCCGCAGTTGAAATACCCTTTTCATACGACAGCAGCGAATATATTTGTGATCTGACGGCAAGTAAAACAAGTAAAACTTCTCATCTTTGAAAGATTATCTAGCTGCTTATCAGCTGTAAACGAAACCAGCTTCTCATCGTGCTTAAACATATAAATTGTATTTAGTCAAAGAAGTCGCTTTCAGGCGTTACATAATTCTTGACATAATTACAATACTTTCTCTGCAAGGGTATGCACAAAAAATAAAGTCAAGTGCAGACACAACGCAAATGCTCAGCAAATTATAAAGAAGTTTACCTTTTTTACCATTGCTTTTTTGCACTTTGCATGCGAAGAACAACAACAACAACAACAACAATAACAATGGCAATAACAAGCGTAATTACATTTTTTGTTGCACGTTTCATTACAGATTTTAAGCACGCGACGACGCCTGGGGAACAATTGACGTTGTTATGCGACAACATTTAGCTCTAACAACAACGACAAACGACAAACAGCAGCAAAGCAGGTGAAGCGATGCGCGCTTTTTAATTGACATTTGCTGAAGCTGAACAACGCTTTGTGCAGCAATTAGCAAAAAAAAAAGAAAAACAGACGCACAGAAAAGGACAAAAAAAAAGTAAAACAATTGTAAACAGTGAGAAAAAAATAACAACAATTGAAATGCTGATGGCCAAGTTGATATTTAATTAAAAATTCAGCATATTTAGCGTGCGACGCTGAAAAGTAGGCAACGCCTTTTCCACAAACAAGCTGTCAAACTGTTGACAGTTGTCACACGGTCGAGCACAGAGGCGTGCACGTGACGCTCCCTTAAAAATTAAAAAAAAATATACAGAGAGCAGGCCAGCCAACAGGCGGCCTTTTGGAGTACGTGAGTGCATGAATGTATGAATAAATGGCAGGCAAATGAATGAAACGTCCAAAACGTTGGCCATATTCCACAAATTTCTCGCACAGCGCTAAACGTCTGCACGTACAGCGCATAAATTTCAAGTGAAATTAACGTCCAAGCCCTTAAACAAAAAAATAAGAATAAGAAAAACTGTTAAATAAACGAGGCACCTGCCCACACAAAAATGTTGGCCCAACACTGTGCCCTGGTTGGCCTGTTCCTGGCCTTTGCCCAGCTGCTATGCAGCGTGCAGGCATTAACCCTGACAGATGCCGCCGCCGAGCAGCAGGAGCGGCAACTGTCGCTGCAGCATCTCAGCTATCAAACCGTGCGCCGCATGCTGCGCGATGAGCACGCACCGGCGGGCCACTACAAGGCCGAGCTGCGCTACCAGCACAAGCGCGAGTCACCGCTACGCGAGAAGCGCGAGGCACACAGGACGGTCGCAACGCTGCTGAATCTGACGCGGCAAGGCCTGAGCGCCTATGATAGCCAACAGAACTATCAGGGCCAATTTGAGCTGGTGAATCGCTTGGATCTGAGCCACAATCGGCTGAGCAGCCTGCAGCTGCAGAACTTTACGCAGCTGCAGCAGCTGAGCGCATGCAATAACACGTTGACCCTGCTGCCTGCTCTGAGCACCACGCTAAGCGCACTGGATCTATCCTGGAACAAGCTTAGCCAGCTTTCCAGCAGCAACAACAGGAGCAGCAGCAGCTTCTTTGAACAGCGCATGCCACAGCTTAAGCATCTAAATCTGGCACACAATGAGCTGGGCGGTGCCATAGCTAGGCAGGCATTCTACAATCTGATTGGTCTGGAAACACTGCTGCTCGGCTGGAACAACATAACGGATATCGACTATGAAACCTTTCTGGCGCTGCCCAATTTGCAGCATCTGGATTTGTCGCACAATCAGCTGAGCGGCTCGGCTATACGCGCTCTGCAGGGCATACCCGATCTGGTGAGCCTGTCCATTGCACATAATCCGCTGGTGGGCGCAGCCATGCAGGAGTTTGTCGCCTCCTGGAGTCTCAAGGATCTGGATGCCAGTGGCACCGGCTTGTGCCAGGTGCCCGCTGCACTGGCGCAATCTGTACGCACCCTCAAACTCTCGCACAACTGGCTTCAGGTAAGCAGCTGGCTTACTTTAATACCCTGTACACATTGAAAATATAGTTAAAAAGGCATCTCGGCTCCCATAAAGTATATATTTTAGCAAATAATTCCAAGCGCGTTGAAACGTAGCTCTTCCAATGGCAGCTGACGATTAAGTTTATAATATCCGATTACCCCTCGGTAATCGAGCATATATTGCAACTTGTAAGAGGTGGAGGCACCAAATGTGGTACCCACTTAAGTTTTTATTGTTTCCTCAATATTGTAAAAATTATATTTTTGGAGGCATAATCTTGGTTTTCACACACATTTTGATGTTTTATTTATTTTCTGAAGATTTCATAGCGATCGGACCATAAAGACCGAAAATAAAGTGTAGGGCAAAGACAAGAATCAGAGGTGTGTGCATAGAAGGATATTAGATTGCAACAGCAGCTTACCCCTGGGTATATCCTAGTGGGGCACTCCCGACTAGTACCCGCACGCTGTAATCAATAAATTAGCAAAACCATCAAGTGTATGTTTGGCTGCCTAGTCTCACGCGAAAATCCTCAATTTTCCGTCGGTGTGCAGCCAATGAACCGCAATTTTGACGCTTTTGTCGGCAATTAACGGCACATTCGCAAGACCAACCACGCACTTTTTCTTTAGCCCCTCCGTTGGTGTAACTGGGGGTGGGGGTAGCACTAAGGGGCGAGCCAGTTCCCGTTGCTGCCATTAATTAGCATCTGTTTTGCGGTCCGGGTCGGCTCTGGCTGTGTGCTTGAGTGCGCCTGTGCCTGTGCCTGTGCCTGTTCCCGGCTCCGATTACCCACGCACACAAAAATCTCACCCGGGCGTATGATTTACACTTTGTTATTTTTAAATTTACGCCGCCATTTTGTTGCCTCTCGACTCGCACTTCCGGCTCCGGCTGCGACCCCGACCACAGCATGGGGTCGCTTCCCCGTAGGGCGCACATTGTCGCCGAGCTTTAAATTATTTTATGTGCCGCCACATTCTCGAGCGTAAAAAGGAAATACTGCACATAAATATTATTGATTAGAACGCTCTGAAGCAGCGAAAAAATTTTTAAATATATCAGTCATATCTTAAAGACACATTTGAATTTGTATTTATTATGTATTGAATGTACCTGCCGTTTTGCCTTACTAATCCAAAATGAATCAGTTAACAGAAACTACGGAAGTCCCATTGAAACGATGCAGTTTTCCAAGCCCCGCTATGAACCGAACTATATACTGTTTCGATTTGAAAATATTTTTGATACATGTTATAATTTCTGCCTACGATATTTTTATATTTATTTATATTTATATATTTTTTATATTTCTGTCTATATTCAATATTTCATATTCAATATAGGATTACAATTATATTGTTTGTTGTATGTATGTTAAGTGTAAAGTTGGTGTAAAAAAGGTGTAAAGTTTTAAGCCCACCATTACGTATGTGAGTACAACTCACAAATGCTATCAAACTTCTGCTCTTTAACTACAAGTTTTCTATTAATATCCTCATATCTGAACTCTTTGGATCTCGTAATATTAACGGAAATACCTAAAAATAATTTTGATTAAGGCTTAAACATAAGTATGAGTCAGTATTTAAAAAGAAACTTAAGACGGCCTTTATTTAGCTCATAAATACGCCGACTATAATTGTTGACTCTTCAGAATCAAGTATTCTCTGCAATATTTTTTATTGTGCGAGCGTTTAGTCGGTGTTAAGTTGGTCACTTAGTCAGTGCTAGAGCGTAATTAAAATCACAATGCGACCACACAATAGAGATGTTAAAAGCACTTTACTCTTTTCACAAATGCCAAGGAAAAACAATGCACAATAAAATAAGTTAAAAAGCTCCGCAGCGGTTATGAGTGACAGCCAAACGGAAGGACAGACCAGTTAAGCTGGCGATTAGCGTTTACAACGACTGTAAAAGGATTCCTGTCAGCTGACTTCAGCTGGGTTTGCATATTTAATTGGGGCCGGCGTGAAAGAGTGTCTAAAGAAGTTAAAATAGTATAATATAATACCATGCAGCTATCTGATATCAAACTACATCATTTCATTTCTACAAGAAGTAAAAGCACATCTCATAAATTTAAAAAAATATTTGAAAAAACTATGATTAGAATTGATTGATCGAAAAATAAGTTTCATTAAACTAGTTTCTATAGATTTCATATTTTAATTATTTCATTTTAAACTGAGTCAGTTTTTATCATCAGTCAATTAAAAAAAAAAACGACTTCAAATATTGATTTTATTACAAAAGGCGACCCTTGTGCCCCTTGTACTTTTATCAGTAGTCAGTCCGTCAGCTATTTACTCATTCAGTCAGACAGCTTTTCGGCATGAATCATTTGAGACCCCAACTAATTTTTAAATTTCAGAAGAAAAAGATACTAGTGTTAAAAAAAGAAGCTTTCTATCATCAGTTAGTTGGAGCAAACAATTTCGCAAGCACAGACTACCCGATGTAAGGGCAACAAGAAATAGCGATAAACTGATTTATGGTCTACAACTACAGTGTTCCGATTGCAGTATAAGCATAAAGCACGTACCCAGCCGTTTAGAGGCTTCGCTCGGGTATTAACTAAGCCTTAACAGCCTCTAGTACATATAGAAAAACAAATGCGACTTATAAATGGCTGTTGCTGCTGTTGCCGTTGTTGCTGCTGCTGCTGTTGCCGATTATGGCAAATGCCATAAAAGGTGCAAAAATGCCATTCGTAAGCTTTGCAGGGCAAAGAAAAAAAAAAAGAGACTAAGGCGCTCGCTCGACACTGGGCATTAATAAAATAAGGATAATTGGCATAAGCATAATCACGTTTAAGCCAACAACCAACGAGCAGCTGAGACAGGCTAAGACAGCGAGAGCCCAACTAGTTGCAATTGCTTTGCGCTCCTTGTGAGCTTTACGGGATCCTTTTGTGTTGCCAGGCAGCAGGCATTTTAATTTGTCTGCCATAGCTGCTCCTGGAGCTGCTCCCCACAGCTGCCTTTTATCGCCAGTCAACACGCAGCCTTTTCATGGCAAATTATGGCGTTTAGAGTCGACGTTTCTGCCACAGCCAACGCTTCCGCCAGTCTGTGGCAACTGCGCCCGAGGGCATCGACGGCAGCAGCGGCTGTTCGGTTGGTCGCCTGTCTGCCTCTCTGACTGACTGACTGACTGGCTGGCTGGCTGGATGGCTGGATAGCTGGCTCCGTGCTTGGCGCTTGTTTCATTTAATGAGTCGCGTCTATGTTTACTTTTTGGCCCCAGACGAGCAGTGCTTGGGGCAATGGTACCGGCAACGACAACGGGAACTACCAAAAGGGGCAATGGCGTCCGACCAGCCTTTGAAGTAATTATAACGGCTGATTCAAGTTAATTTTTAAACAATGTCAGCAAGTCACTCGCTTCTCGCACTAATCAAATTTCCAACACTCAACTAAAAGTTCGTTAAAGCTTAGCCCCAGACAGATTTATACCCAAGGACATTCCTTCACTTTAAGGGCAAACTGCAAAATCAAGCACAAACACAATATAATATTAGGATTGCCTTCTTTTAAAAATTACAACGAAGGTTTGAGTGCCCGTTTTGTCTGTCGATTACTTTAAGAGAACTATGTGAAATAAAATACCTTCCGGCATTTCAGGTAAATTTACTGCCTGTAACAGAAAGACGGATTGATGCATGCACAGTTTCTGTTCAAGAATATATATACTTTATGAGATCACTTCGTTACACATCTCATGATAAAATTATCACAGCCTCAACACGGGTGTAAAAGTTAAATACATTTTTAATTTCTTGTAATCTTGCATTTACAGACAATAAATTGCGGAGATTTGGATAGTTATCCACTGTTGCAGTACTTGGATCTGTCCTACTCGCACATTGCGCAGTTGGAGGATGATGCACTGGGTCGTCTGGAACTGCTCGAGCTGTTATTCCTTGACCACAACAAACTGATGCGTGTGCCGAACAGCTTGCCCACCTCGCTGGAGCATCTCTTTCTGCAGCATAATCGAATTATGGAGCTGCAGCCACAGGCGTTTGTCGGTCTGAAGAATCTGAAAACCTTGGATCTATCCGGCAACCGTTTGTTGTATTTGCCGGCGCTGCCATTGGCCAACTTGCTTACATTAAATCTGCAGTCAGCGGGTATCGAGTCGGTCAGCCAGTCGATTGTGCACACGCTGCCGCAGCTGCGCGATCTGCTGCTGGAGGAGAATCCGATCAGGTGCAGCGATCTGCTGGGCATTGCCGAATGGGCAAGTCCCTGTCGCAGTGCCGACTTGGGTCGTACATTGGGCCTCATTGATGTAAAGCGACGTTACGTGCAGTTGCAGAACTTTAACGAGAACTTTAGCAGCACTTGTGGGGGCGTGGCAAATGAAGTGAATGATGCAGCCGAGCTGGCCAAATCAATGCCGCCCACTTGCAGCCAGGCAACGGCAGCAACAACACAAGCAACTATGCCAAAAGTGCAAAAGTCAAAGGCACTATCTACAGCGGCAGCAGCAGCAACAGCAACAACAGCAGCAACACACACAACTCTTATGCAATCAAGCGGCAACAACATTGCACTGCTAACCGCAAAAACTTTAGGGCCAGCTGAAACAACTTCGTTAGTGCAACTGCAGCGCCAACAAATGCCTGGCATGCCAACTGCAATAACAGTAGCAACAACAACACCAGGAGCAACAGCAGAAGCAGCAGCAACAACAACAATAATTGCAACTGCCACAGCCGCTGGCGTGCCAAGTTTGCAACGCGCTGCCAAACGCACAAACATTTTGGCAAGCAGCTCAACGCCGCTAGCAGCAACAACAGCAACATTAGCAACAACCACAGCGCCGCCTAGACTAGCCAGGCCAACAAACATAAGCAATGTTGCTGCGGTCGCCAAGGCAACAGCAACAACAGTCGCTGTGCCACAAACAATTTTGGCGCTTTTAAGTTCAGATAGCAAACACAAACATGCCAAGAGTGTATTAAAACAGACAGCAGCAACAACAACAACAACAACAACAACAACAACAGAGATGATAGAGACAACAACAACAACAACAGCAACAACAGTTGCCGCTGTGCAGCCCAGTGACACTTCCGGTCAGGAGGCAAAGCCGGCACATAAACATGCCACGCTGCAGCTGCATATTAAAGATCGGCATCTAATTGGAACGCCGCTGCTGATGCACAAGGGCGACAACCTGCTGATAGATGCGGAGCAGTTGTTGCTGCCTGGAACGGCAACAGTAGCGGATGCGGAAACATTGCTGGCTGACAGCCAGCTGAAGCAGCAGCAGCGACAGGAAACGACTGATAAGCGACAAGCGGAAGCAATAAAGGGCGACACAAAGGCGACACCACAGACCGAGCTGGAGCTGGAGCAGCACAAGAAAAAGCCCTCGCTGAGCATGAAGAAGATGACATACAGCACCAAGCATGCAGCAATCAAGAAAACAACAGCAGCACCAACAACAACAATAGCAACAGTATTAGCAGTCACAGCCGCAACAACACCTAGCACACGCCCACAACACCAACACAGCAGTGTTAACACACCCAATGCGGTCAAACAGGAACTGAGCACATTCGCCCAGCTTAAGGCCTTTGTGGAACTCAAGACGGAAGCCTCCAAGTCCGCAAAGCTGCTGGCGACACGCCTGGAAACGCAGCATACATTAAATGGCAGCCATCCGGGGCTTATGCTGTTGCTGGCCTGCGTCCTGGTGATTGTGCTACTCGCCGGCCTGGCGCATGTGTATCGCTGTGAGCTGCCCTGGCAGCGCAGTCCACGTGCCCAGCAGCGACCGCATCAGCACCATCAGCGCCAGCTCAATGAGAGCGACGATGTGCACAGCTTTTTGCATTATCAGGGCTCCCGACATGCAAATCCGGCCCGTTTGGGGGCCTGGCATCACAGCACCAGACGTGAGGCGCCATACAGCTCGCCGCTGCACAATTTGCAGGCACGTGAACTGCAGCGCGAGCAGCAGAAGCTACAGTTCTACAGTGCCTCCCTGGCGGACAGCTCCATTGGCAGCGGCAGCGGTAGCGGCTGCTCCTCGGGCAGCAGTCGCAGCAGTCTGCACTCGCCGAGCAACGAGGAAAGCTACTATATAGAGATGGCACCCAGCAGCCCCATGACTGCCTCCAGCGGCATACCCAGCCTGCCCATGGAGCTGTTGAGCGGCAGCAGCAGCAGCAACAGCAACAGCAACAACACAAGACGAACCGCCGGCACGGGCGTGGCTGCAACACAGCTGGGTGGAGCTTTGGCGCCGTCGGCAGCAACGCTGCGTTCGATGAGCAGCAAACTGATGGCGCCCGGAACGCGTCGCCTGGGCATCTGGTGACAAACCGTGTTCGGGCAGCGACAATACGCAACACTACAGTGAATCAAGGGCAAATATATAGAAATATAGAAAACATGCTGCATAGTTTTAAGCCCAATGGTCAGCGGCCAAACTGAGTCAGAAAACAATTGGCAGCAGCATCGCAGATATATATATATATATATAAAAATAGAGATATAGATATACATGCACAGATAATTATTTATATATGTATGTATGTCTCTTCGTTTAGTCTTGTTTGATTTATGGCTCATGTTGGTCGCATACGTGGCAGGCCTCTTAGTGTCTAGGTTAGCAGCAACAATTTGTCATAAAGTTTCGTAACGTATACGCCGCGTGTGGCGGCAAGCAGCCAAATAGCCAAAAAGCAGCCAAGAACAGCCAAATAACCACCGCCAGCAACATTTTATAGGCCATCAGGCAAACGCGCTCCGAACCCGCCCCCTCCCAACCCACACCTATCGCCTCAATTTAATGTCCATCTTGTGGTCGTATTTGGGTCAGTTTACACCAGGGCCAGAGCCGTGCGTGTGTGTGTTTGTGTGTTCGTGTGTGTTGGCCAGTTAACTTTATATATGCGTATGAGTGCCTGTCCGTTGGCCAAGATTAAGTGCTTTGATAGTCATGCATATAAAAATGAAATATATCGATAAAGTATTAAATAACAATTTAGTTTATGACCCAAAGTCAGCAAAGGCTCGAACCATCAATGCGCATTACAAGGACCTCAAGAGAACAAAAAGGCTCAATTTACTATTGTTGTTAATTGTGCACTTATTTATAGATCGAGCGAAAATTTGTACAATTTAACATGAGACATTTTTATGGTTTTTAAATAGTTATTTATGCCTCAGAATACTTTTATGCTTCAAACGTAAACATTTATATTTGATAACCGCTTTATAGATTATGCTTACAAGAAACGATTAGCTGAGAGATATTTAAAGTACCTCAAAGATTATATTTTTACACTTTCATATAAGTTTATGCTCAGAGATAACGAGTAGATTTCCTCCAATAATCAAAGAGTTACAGTGTCGGACAGACTTTTTTTACTTTAAGATAATTTTAATCTTTTATTCTCTTGATGTCACTTTCCATTTAAATTGGACAAGCCTTCTAGCGGAGAGATATTTAAATATATCATAGATACTTTCAGCTTTACTCGAGATATAAAGATTAAATGTCAGCTTTAAGATACTTTACGCTAACAAAATATCCTTTTCACAAAAAAACGAGATATATTGCGTTTAGATACTTCATTCAGTAGAAGAAGATTCTAACTAAAACATTAACTAGCTAAGCGGAAGGGCTAAGTAATTAGACAATTTACGCAATTAAAGTGCAAAGCAGAAACAGAAAAATGCATTTAGCTTTCACCTGAAATAAAGCTCTTGATAGATTTTCCTTTTCAAGCCAAAGCTTGTTCCTAATGGACTTTAAAAGCCAACTGCTTCAGTGGCTCCTTAACCCACTTTGCCCAATCTAATTAAAATTTCAAGTTTTGCTCGAACAAAGTCACAACAAGAGGCACACCGTTCTCCCAGAAAACCCTTTAGGTTTTATTTTATTTCTATTTTTACGGTTCGTATTGACAGCCCCCAATTGACAGCAGCCCCAGCAATTGCTCTACTATAGTAGTATATGCTCTCATTCTGCACCCCATTTTCTGTTCTAAGGCAATTGTCGAACCGCCCGTACTTAACCTCATTTTATAAATTGACCAACAGTGAGCATATGGTGTAAATCCAGCCAAATGGGCAGACAACTAATCCGCCACAGCAAATGTGAAATGTTGTAAAACTATTTGAAAGATATGTGAAAAATGGCAACGCCTGGAGACCGGCTGGGCTCCGGCCTGGACTGGCGGAGGCCAACATCAAAATAATGTGCCAGCAAATCAAATTACAAGACGACGACTTCATGAGGGCAGAGAAATGTATGGTTGAGTGGGGTTGCAAGTTTGCGAAGAGGGGGAGGTACAACACAACAATTACATTAAGACACGATAAAAAGTTGTGCAACAATCTTGTGAGTCAGAGCCCAAGCTGCCGGGCAGCCGGGCGGCAAAGCGCCGGACGCAAAGCCACAGTCATTGCACAGTTTTTCAACTTTTTGTGGCTTTGTAATTGGAATACAAGAAGAACAAGAGCAACAGCAACAGGAAGATAGATAAAGATGCGGATACAAACGTATCTGTAATGGGAGCGTAGGCAAGAGTTTCAGCCACTAACAACAGGCGTTCAAGCGTTTCTTCTCAAGCAATTCAGAAGAAGAAGGATTTATTTTTGGCCACAAAAGCGAAATGCGAACCTAAAGCGGGCTAACAACAATTAAAGTAATGCTGACCAACAAACTAAGATGCCCGACGCCCGAATTTGGGCGGGATTACGATGCTAAGAGGGGGCAAAAATAAGGGAGAACGCACAAAATCTTAATTAAGGAAGTTCCAAGTGGGCAAGTGTCAGGCTGCCATTTTTTGTTGGACTGCCGGATGAGGCAGTTGGGTGGAAGTAGAAAAGGGGGCAGCCTTTTTTGTGCACAGCATAGCAGAAAAACTGGACTACAATGGGGCCATATAAACAGAATGCGGCAGGGTAGAAGGCTGAGGGCATTGTCAAATTTAATGAAGGTTTTCTCTTGCTTATGACATGCCCAGCTGGCCAAGATTTACTTACCAAACTTTTCAGTTGCGTACGAGTAAAATTGCGTCAGAAGAAAACTCCGATGAGTTAATTCGTTATTTGACACTTTTGGGTCACATTCCAGGCCCAAACTTGGGCTCAATTTTTGGGAAAATTTTAGTCACTCCGTGCACAGTTAATAAAATGTTTGTTTGAGTACGACGTTTAATTATTTGCCTGCTAAATGGCTTTAACAGCATATAAAAACGGGTGGGGCGGTTGATTTGGGCAAGTTATGTGAAAACAAGTTGCTTTTACGGCAGTTGGCTAGCTCGTAAATAAAGGCACATAATTGAACTTGGCCAGAAATATAAAACAATCTCTCTTTCGAGCTAACAGAAAAAAAGCAACTACAATAATTAAACTTAATTGCGCTGTACATACAAGAAAAAATTGCAATTTTAAATATACATATACAAATATTCTGTGTTTAATAAATACTAAGATATGAAATAACAATAAATAAAACACAGCGCAGATATTTGCATTTAATTTTGCGCATTTTACAAACCACAAAAAAACTAATTGCCAAATATTCGATGCATAGTTTATATCAGTAAAAAATAAATATATATATATATATATATATATATATAAATACACAAAATATATATAGACAGATAAAAGAAAGCATGCACGAGCTCTAGCATATAGAGCGGTGCAAATAAAATATATTAAACAAATAATTATATTTACACAGTTTCAATATTTATTCAGTTTAGACAAACGCCACGCCCACAACATGGTCATCATGACATAGTTCTAATGCGAGTAGATACCAAAACAGTTGCCAAAAAATTAAATAAATAATAATAGTAAAACATACTAATATTTATTTCTGTGTGTATTTGTAAATAACAGTAGTTTACCGTAAAGAATTGTACAATTATTTAAATTGTGTAGCACTAGCTCTTTAAAATTGAAACGTTTGCTAACACTACCAGACATTGTTAGATCAAATCAAATCAATAAAAGTTAATTAAAAGAAAAAATTAAAACTTATTTAAAGAATTACAAAAATTCAATATTTAATGTATTATGAAAACTAGCGGATAAGTATATAAAAATAGCAAAGCAACAGATGAGCGAAATGTAGAGAAGTTCAGCAAAATATTTGATGAGTTCTTCTCAAAATTTAACATTTTAAAAGGACAGGCAACCGACAAAAGCAAAATAAAAATTGAAAATTATTTAATTACAAAAAAAAGAAATAAATTATGATTTTATTATGGGAGGATTAAGAAATAACTGAAAAGTAACGTAAGGCTACTTTATAAACCAGACCAACCTGGGGATGTGTTAACTATGTAGATGATCTTTGACTTTAATCAACTACAAATTCATTTAATTTACGCCAATCTCTTGCTCATTCTTATGCCCAGCGAAATTAAAACAAATGAAAAGCTGCAAAGCCAAAAACAACAAGTAAGAGTTTCTAGTCGGGAGCTCCTGACTAGGGGATACCCTGAACCCTCTTCCTTCAACATCAAATGCATATATATATTTTATTTTAGAAGCTATATGTCAAGTTTGGTGACTCTAGCTCATATTATTTACCAAAATTGCCCAAAAAAAAAAAAAAAGGATATCGATATCGATTTAGTTATCGATTATCGAAAATAAACCTGATCTGCGCGGGAGCTAAGAGCACCTACATCTAAAATTTCAAGTCTCTAGCTCTTATAGGTTCTGAGATCCTTGCGGACGGACAGACGGACATGGCTAGATCGAATCGTCTATTGATGCTGATCAAGAATATATATACTTTATGTGGTCGGAGATGCTTCCCATTTGGATTTCGCACAAATACAATATACCCTTATACCCATTTTTAATGGGTTCAGGGTATAAAAATGTAAGTGTTTCGGTTCACGAGAGTCGATCGAAATCCAACTCCGTCTTTATGATCGACGCTTGAACCTGTTTTTTTTTTCTATCTTCGAACACCGTTTTTGGAACAAACCATGATTTTTTTCAAATGGTTTGTTTTCAATGAATTCGGTTTAGCTGTTTTTATGGCAAACAAATATGGTTAAACTTTCGGTTCTCAGTAAAAATTAATTTGGAATTTCGGATTCAACAGATTTATATTAATAAATAAATATAGAGCTTTCAAGTGTTGTAAAGTTCAATAACATACTGACTTCACGAATACCCCAACAAATATAATAAATGTATATTTAAAGATCTGGTCATAAACTTATCTCTGTAAAAGTAACGTCACGTGTTCTATATAAAGCACAAGTTAACATTTCGACTAACTCAAGAATTTAACAGTAGAAGGAACAGTCGACAAGAATGTAGATTAAGCAAATGCACATGGGCACTAAAAATAAATGTTAAAATTAGTGAACCATGCGACAGTTAAACAAGGAATTGAGCATAATAGCTAAACTAAATTATGCCAATAAGTGCACATAAAATACACCGTCACACACACACAATACACACACATCCAAATAGAACACTCATTGGTTAAGTCAACTAGCCAGGCCAAAACAAAACAACACATGGAACATTTTTATTTCAAATCCAATTATTTCACATCGAACTGCAATCAGATGATTGCGTCCAGCAACAGGAAACGCGTACCAAAGTGTGTGTATGCGCGTGGGTGTGCGTTGTGTGTGTTTATATTGTGTATGTGTGTGTGTGTGTGTGTGTAAATTGCTGCGCTCGACAAACGATGCTGTGGAAATTGCCGACAAAATGAAAGTCAATTGGTTTTTTTTGCTTGCTTTTTATTGTTGGCCTTCGGGGCCGCAGCAAGTCAAGAAATTTGTATGGGTGTGCGTGTGTATGTGTGTGTGGTCCGAGCTGAGGCATTCAATATTGCAGCAAAATGAACGCGACATTCAACAATATTAAAATTCACATCCATTTACAGCCCGATGGAGGACAACAAATGTCTAACGAAATATGGGCAACTGTTGCCAATAAAAAGGTTAATGGAAAAATAATATAAAAAAGGCCCATAATACAAATAAGCATAAGGAAATTTGTTGCCAGTTCAGAATATGACAGTTTAGGGGTAAAGGTAGAGCTTATTTTGATGTTATGAGTTTGAGAGGAAACATTACCTAAAATGAGGGAGTCATTGAATGAACTTTATAAACGTCAATATTGCAATATTTCTATATATTTAAGAGACTTTATTCAGATTGATTAACTGACTGAACCTTTGACTTTTATAATTACATCAACTAAGACAAAACAGACATAATAGTAAAATTACGTTATGAGCCTGATCGGCTTAGGTATCCAGCCATCGGACTAGCAAGCGAGATGTCGCCTCTTGCACGCCTGCAATGTGCGGCTTTACTTGCATATCTTATTTATTGCAAAAAGGTTTAAATACAATTCAAATGATTGAGAATTCTGAGTACTATCTTGAACTAGTAGCTTAGGGAGCCGAGAGCTGATCTTTTCCGTACCTGTTTAATTTAAATAAGAAAATAAGTGTATCCTCAATAAAATTAAGATAACGTTTTCTATTATGCACTTGCATTTCAGCAATATTAATCTATTATATATAATCTACTATCTAGTATCTATATTGTGTTTAATCACACGTTAGTGTGAGAGGGATGGAGCAGTAGAGCACGCTACTGCATATGCATTTGTCGCGTCGGAAAAGATTGAGATTAAATATTGGAAAAAATAAATTTGTTTATTTTTATAAAAGCTGTTTTTGTGGTGGAAGCATATATATAGGTATATTTATTGCTTTGATGGGTTGATATATATTTTAGTCAAAAAATTCTATTAAGCTAAAATAAGAACGCTGTGTGTTATTGTCGACGAGGGAAAACAGAGTTGTCACACTAGGCGAATTAGCAAACAAATTAAAATTGGTTATTGTAAAATTTGTTCAACAAGATTCCAAAAATGAGATGCTCCTAATGTTCGATTCATTATTATAAATACTCAATTTGAGATAAATTAAAGTTAAATAATAATTATTTGTTTTTATTAATTATTATTTAAATGAATAGCTGTCAGCCTTATAGAGGCAATCATATTGCTGAGCGACTGGCACTGTCTGCTGTTATTTGTTGGCTGTGACTCGAAAATTGACGACAAACGACACAGCCAAAAATTCAAAAAGAGATATCCGTGAAATCGATTTTAAGAAAAATTAAAAGAATCCTTGTTTCGTTGACTTGAACCGTTTCTCGAAGAGACAACAGCCCGACAAGTGGACACATTGCTGCGTAATGGCTTGCGTGAGTAAGAGCAACTATGATGCCGAGCGTAAAATCTGGAGTGGAAAAGATGAATCTGACTATTATGCAGCGGATCTATCGATTGGCGAGATCATTTTTCATGAGATGCGACGTCATCCGAAACTTATAGCTCAAGTACGCAGTCAAATAATCCATAGATGAGATATCTAACAACATTGTAATTCCCCATTAGATCTCGGACACTGAGAACACTGTGTTGACCCGGGAGCAGCTCCATTTGAACTCAATGCGTGTGGCCAGCTATATGAGATCCCTAGGCATGTTGCAATCGGACATTGTGGGAATCATAGCGAGAAATACAACGCACATCTTTGCGGTGACCTACGCATGTTTCTTCAATGGTATTGCCTTCCACTCACTGAACGTCTCGTACGAGCAGGCGACCATTGAAAAGCTCTTTAACATAACAAGTCCACGTCTCATATTTTGCGATGGTGAAGACTACAAGAAGGTTAAATTGGCTACGGCAAATTTAAACGCAAAGATCATTACAATGCGTAACCATCAGATTGAATCTATTAGCATTGAGGAAGTGCTGGCCACGCCTATAGAAGCGAAATTTGAACCTGCTCGCCTGGAACAGGGAAACAATCAAACTCTGGCCATTCTCTGCTCTTCAGGTACTACTGGCATACCCAAAGCAGTGACCATCACGAACAGTCGCAAAATCCTAAACACTGGCACGTAAGTGAAGTCAACAACATGGTTATAATTATATGTGTATAAAATATCTTGAAACATTTTAGGAAGCTGACCACTGCGGATGTTCAGTACTCACACAATACTTTAGACTGGGTGGGGGGACTTCTGACAACCGTTACTTCAGGTGTCTACAGCACTAAACGCATTATCGCCGATAATCCCTTTGATCCTGCGCGTCTCCTGCACATCATCAAAGAGCATAAACTCACTTGGCTGTATCAGTCACCGTACCACTTGGCCGCAACGGCCTTTTGCCCGGAATTTGAGCTAGCCGAGCTGCAAAGCTTGAGATACTACTTTTATGCAGGTGATCACTGTTCCTTGGAGGCGCAGCAGAAAATAAGGAATCGCTGCGGCCACAACTGCATGCATTTGGTATACGGCCTGACAGAGTTGGGAAGTCCGGTAACCGTGAACTGTCACTTTGATGAGAAACCCAATTCGGTTGGCCGCCTGATGGAAGGCTTTAAGCTGAAGATACTCGATGATCAGGAACATAGTCTAGGCCCAAACGAAGTGGGCGAAATATGCCTCTATTCTGGCCAATATTGGGCCGGATACTATGGCAATCCCGAGGAGACACACAAATTGCGCGACTCGAGCTTATGGTTCCATACGGGGGACCTGGGCTACATGGATGACGATGGTTTTCTCTACATTACGGATCGGAAAAAGGAAATGCTTAGGTACCAGAACATAATGTATTATCCACATGAAATCGAAGATGTGATTGCTCAGATGCCAGCAGTGGCAGAGGTCTGTGTCTTTGGCGTCTGGAATCCATTTAACGGCGATGAGGCCGCTGCTGCAGTGGTGAAGAAGTTCGGAGCCGAAATACAGGCACAGGATGTGGTTGACTTCGTGCAACAACATTCCAGCGCCGAGTATAAGCATTTGCATGCAGGTGCCATTATTGTAGACAACCTGGAGCGTACTACCAATGGCAAAACCAATCGCCCGGCTAACAAAGCTTATTTTATCAAGGCTAAAAATGGAAATTAAACTTTATCAAGAAAATTTAACAGGATTTCATTAAAAAAACATACACGTTTTTCTTAATAAAATCTCCAGAATGTATATGTTATCTTTATGGAATCTCAACCAGTAACAAGAACTATATCAATTCAATAATTCGTATGCTTTAACATCTTGCTGCAATTTAATTAAATATAATTAAGATTTAGGTATTTGTGACAAAAAAGGGTTTGCTGGAGTTAAAAAACAAAAAAACAAATGTTAATTAAAATTTCTTCATTAAATGTTTTAAAACCTTTATTTAAAACATTACAAACCGAACTTTATGTCAGTGTACTAAATGCATGAAGTGAATAAACTGTATCAAACGAAAAAGATTTATTTAAATATAAGAGAAACTTAATATGATATTAAAATATACCAATAATTAAACCAACTGTAAGCTTTTCTTGTTTAAAATACGAAGAACATGGTTAAATGGGAAATAAGTAAAAAATGGAAAGCAAACACTAAATTCAAAATTGATAGGAAATTTTTAATTGAGAAACCAAAAGAGCTAGCCACGCCCACGTGGTTTAACAGCAAATAAGCAAAGAAATGACAGAATGAATTTAAAACTGGCTATGTGAAGGTTTCGGCAAAAAAATAATTGCCTGAGCCATTGAACTGTTAATTTTTATTCAATTTACTGCCACAGCAGTTAAAGGAAACCTGTTTAAATGGGTGCGAGTGGCACGTATGTAAATGCACACATATATATCATGCGTGTGTCTGTGCACAGTTGTACAAAAAGTTTGTCTAATTGATTACGAAACTGTGCTGCAGTGCAGGCAAATGGCGCTCCATTAGCGTCAGCCAAGCGGGTGGAAAAAAATTGAAAGAGCAAAAGTCAAGCTTACGCAATTTTCGTGTTTTTTCTTTTTATATAAATATGCAAACAATTTTTGTGGCTGTTTGGGCCAGATACTGATGAGGGGAGAAATATGCGCTCCTGCACACACTCTCACACACGCTCAACTGTAAATTGCATTCATATTTAATGCAGCGCTGGTAGCGCGGCCGAAAGCGACGACGCATTACGTATACGCAATGTAGTGCTCCATTGGGACACATTGCTTAATTTCTGTGCAGCCCAAATGCATGAAGGCAGGCAGCCGTGTGTGACACAAACACACACACACATACACATCGAGAGAAAGAGAAGCATGCATATATACATTAAAGCGAATGTCAAATGTGAAGAGCAGCTACCACTAGCAAAAAAAAAAGCGTAAAGAAAATTCGCATTACGTATACGGCAGCTTCCTTTGGCTACAAAAAATACAACCCACACACGTTTGGGGCGGTAACGATTTCATTTCATGGTTTTGCACTCGTTATGACTTTTGCCCGATGACCTCCCGTACCCGCCCCACCGCGCGCTTTGCTTGTTTTTTATTGTCGCCCAGTTGCGTCGCTGTGTCCCCAAAGTGTGCATCGTTTTATGTTTACTAGAGGTGAAATTCAGTTCCCGCCCGCACTCAGTTTCCGGCGACCCAGGCACAACTACTTCGACAAATTTTATTTAAACACCGCCTCTCGAAACACGACATTGGGACAGCAAGTTTTGTTTTTCAATTTAAACTTTAAATTTCACATGTTCTTTCTTTTTATTATTTTTTTTGTTTTCTCCAACATTATTCGAAATGTCATTGCCGCCAGCTGTGGCCAACTCTCTGGAGAAATGCAGCTGTCTTTTTTTTCCTACCACCTGAGCAGGTGAGGCTCCAGCCAGTTTACAAGTTTTTGTGTGCCACAAAGTTCAAGTAAACATTTTTGGCAACATTAAAAATTAATATATTTTTGAATTAGTAAATAAAGAATGAGATAGAAAATAAGAGAAAAGTACAATTAAATTTAAGGAATTTATAATTTATGTACTAAAAAATAATAAAAAAAAACTAGAAACCGAAGAATAAATACCCTTATAATAGCGTCATAACAAAATGTAGTTTAATATAAGAAATAACGAATATAATAATATTGAACAGAAGTCAGATCTGAAGGACAAAGTAAGTGGAATAGAATAGAACAAACTGAAAAAAAAATATAAATATATTTTTGGATAAAGAAAATCCGCAACTAAGCCCGAACCAAAACATTTTTGTACCTCGAAAATAAAGAAAAATACTTTTAAGACAATGCATAAAAATAAATATACTTAATTTTATTATTGATTAAAAGTACGGAACCTTTTATAAGATTTATGGGTATTTACCAGCCAATTTGTTTAAACACATCACTGTTATTGCAGCTAGTAAAATCATTAATGCATTGATTAGAACAACACAATTTAAATCCCCGACAAGATATGAGAACAAAGCCCTAACCCAATGATCATAAACAAATTGAAGCTATTAAGAGCCAAAGGGGCAGTAGAAACTTGGCCATGGCAAAGCCTCAACTGAAATCTGTGACAAGTCAGCGCCAGTTCGTGTCACCTAATTGAGTAAGTATCCTTGCCGGACCCGGCAAATGGGTATCCTTGTCTGCTACTGCTCCAAGTACAAGCACACACACTCACACACACACACACACACGCGCATACATTCGTGCTAGTAAGTGGCTTTAGCTTTAGCTGTGGCTGCGGCGTTCCTTTCCAACTGTGGCAGCAGTTGAAGCTGTGTCAAGTTGCAAATGTACTGGGCGTGTGTGTGTGTGTGTGTCGTACAAGCGTGTTCTGTGTATATTTTATTTGTTTTTATTGTATTTTATTCGCTCCTTTTTCAACAACAACACGCGCACTTTTGTGTTGTTCTTGGTGAGTTTTGTTCTGTGCTTTTGTTTTTATTTGTGTTCATAACATAAACTTTGTATTTTTATGCGAGACAAACGACGACAGAGCAAAAGGACTCTTGCAGGACAACGAGGCGACCAACTTGTTTGCGTTGGGAAATCAGTTAAGAACTTGGCTTGAAATGTACATATATACATATATACATATACTCCACACGCTGCTGTCTACTGTTAGCACTCTGCACTTTTTCTTTACCACTTGAGTGGATTTTTGTGTTATTTTTGCGTGCTGATTTAACTCGGGCACTTCACAGGACGCGGCGGGTGGGTACACGGCATTATCATCACTTATTATGCGCGCCACAAATCGAAATCAGCAAAGCGACTTGATTAAGATTTAACTAAGCGTGTGGCCCGCTGCCTGTCATGGGCCAAATTCAATTCAATTCAATTGAAATGGAAATTAAAAGTGAAACAATGCACAATACTAACACGCACACACACGCACAGCACAGGCAACAATAGGCAGACGCCATAAATAATTTTAAATGCCAGTTCAGCTTTTATTTGCCTGAGTGAATAAAAAAAGAAAAAAAAGGACTGGGCAAACAAGCATCGCGAAAAAAAAACAATGTTAATTAAACGAAAACCACAGGCCACTTGCAACATGCAGTTTGTGGTCGCTGGTAATTAATAAAATCCACGTCGGCACAAAACGCGAACACAGACTGATCAAAGGACACTTTGGGGACCTGGCGACGCGTCTCTCCCATGGCTCCACATTAGCTGCATCATTTAATATTTCTATTATTCAAATACCCTAGAGTATAAATAAACATAAAACGGCTTATTGTTAATGGTATTAAATATATTTAAATGAATTCATGAGTATACTTTATGTAGAGCTGGACGTAGGTCGTGTTTGAGCATTGAGCATTATGCTTAACACGAAGCCGAACACTAACGAAGTTTATGTTCTCACATTTGCAGCATAAAATAATCATCTAAATAGAATATGTAAATATGCTTTTGAAATATTGAAATATTTTATATATAAATATATTTATGAGTATAGGTGCGCATGTGTTGTGTTTTTCCAATCGGATTTGAACAGATTTGCAGTACAAAAAAACCTCATATATACTGTGAGTCGTGTTTACCACAAGCCAGAATACGGATGTGTTTAATGAGCCTACATTAGCAACCATATTTAAAATATATGTTATTAAAAACAAAAGGCCGTAAAGCATGTTTAGCCATGAAATTAAGATTGAACTTATAATATCGTTTTAGATATACATTTAATATTATTTAGTGTATGCTTGGAGTTTCGAAAGTCGGAAAACGTCTCTTTGCATCAAGCATAAGACCGTCATCGGCACGAAATACAAATTCAATTAAAATAATTCGTATAAAATCACATTTTTTACTCCAACACCGACACGCTTTAAAAACGTTTTTAATAAAGCTATCACGCACCCGTCTCTATAAAAATTTCAGTGGATAAGAATATATCTTGTATATTTTCACACTTGTGTATCGTATTATTTATCCACTTTTATTGTGCTCTATTTATTTATTTATTTATTAATTTTTTTTTTTTACTTTAAACTCCGCGTTTTTAAAACAACTATGAACGATTTTCATATTTGTTTATTATGATAACGAAATTTTCATTACCAGATTATCTGGCTGAAAGGGTATATTGGGATATTGGAAAATCGGCATTTAGTTAATTGAAACAGGGCATTTCGTAGTCACGCACACTTGTCCAATAAATATTGCTCTGTTTTTTATGCCTGGAACACAGACATGTATGTAGATTGCACATTTTTATAGTCGGGTTACTGTCAACCGACCATCAATCTATTGGCTGCCTGAGGGCGTTAAGCTGGCCAGCAAATCCCCCCATCGCAACAGTTAGAAGGCGGCGCGGTTTTTGTCTGGGGCTTAACGAGCTCAACGCTTAAAACAATGACGCAGACACAAAAGGGTTCGCAACGCTTTGAGCTAAACGTGTTCTCTTTCATCTGGACAATCGGACGCAAAGGACAGTTTAGCCCGGCGCTTCAAGGCACAGACAGCAGCGGTCTAAACAATTTCAGGCTGCATAGACTCTTTTTTAGCCGGTTATTAATTAAATGCATAAAATTAATTACTCTTACAGGATTATATGATATAAGTGCAAGTAATTAGGTGTTATATTTCAATTTGTTTTTCTGTTGCTATAGAAAATTAAATACTGGCAGCAGCTCTTCAGCATATAATACGGTAGATAAAGATTATTAGATCGACAAAACATGTTGTTCTTATCACACTCATAACCCAA